TCAACAAGAGTTACATTATAAAAGAAGTCCGCCAAAGTTCCCTTAGACTTTACATTTAAAGTGACAAACAACATCCATGTGCTGCAGAACTGTTTTAACTCCTCAGCATTAAATTAGCTTTTTCTAGAATCTTGTAATGTACATTGACAGACAGCTGATTCACGAACCACTTACAGCCTTCATTCTGTGAGTGTCCTCAGTTGCTCATCCCATAATGGAATTTCAATCAGGCAGAGGAAGAGGCAGCCCGTGGGAAGCAAAATAACACAGTGACCATAACACAAAGCTGACAGCCATTGTCCTGCTTCCAAGATTCATGCAGCGACAGAGAGGCCCTCAAGACTTGAGTCTCTGGCTCTGGAGAGTATTTGTGTCTGTGTGTGTCTGTGTGTGTCTGTGTGTGTGTGTGTGTGTGTGTGTGTGTGTGTGTGTGTGTGTGTGTTTGTTGCATGTGCTGCTATGCCAGATGGTGCATCCATGACGTGAACCCCACCCATACTTGTCAAAATGCCACCACGCGGGCTGGTGTGGGCCACGGCAAATCCCACTCGCAGGAAGAAGCCAGTTTGCCACCATTCAGCTCCAATTACAAATCTTCCGTGGCACCCGAAGATTTGAGGCCATCCAAATATGGTGATTACCGCACAGTTCCTGGAGGGGCTGAAGCTGAGCCCTTCATCGGTGTACACTGTTTACTTACTGTCTGTGTGTCCATCTGCTGATGCGGTGAACAGACGCAGCTTGATTCTTCTGTGCGGGCCGCGCTGGATGCTTGGCTCAAACTGCATATCTGACTTTATCCGGCAGATTCGTGGAAGTTTAAATAGTCAAACAATAATCGAGGCTGACAGAATCAGAGAGGGTCATTTCACATTTATTATATAATTGCTTAAGGAAGGGTGTTTAATTTTTAATTATATTCTGTTCATTCATTTTATTGCAAAAAAAGCATCAGTAGTCTGGTTTGTTTAATGACAAAGACTTGGCTTCTGTACGGATCATTGTCTTCTTTTCAAGGCTTCTTATAGTAGCTAAAGTGAGCAGACTAATGTCTCAATAGTTTGCAGGAATTGAACATTATTTGTCCCTTTCTTTAGCCAGCAGTTGCCTTTTCTTCTACTCTGCATCACCACAGCAAAACCGCTATAAGATTAAATGTACACTTCCATATAGATTTAACCTGTAATGTTTTATAATATGACGCATTTTCAGTAGAATCTCACAGTTCTACTTAATAGAAAGGCTCCCATCAGCCACAGAGCTGCAGTCATTCTTTTATTCATTAACAGCAGTTTAAAAAAACAACTAAATATTTATGTTGTAGCTCTTGGTTCCAAAATAAACTGAGCTCAGTAAACAAGCTGCACCATTTGCTTTTAATGTGTGATTAATGATGTGTACTTTATATTTCTTGTTATTTGTTTTTATTTGCTGTTTTCAGTTTTGAACCGATGTTAAGTGTCTTTTGGCATCGTTAAAACCACTATATAAATACAATGTCCAATTGGGTAATTGCTCATTGTGTTATTACTCAAGTTATTGTTTCATGAAGGTATTCATTTTTAAACCAGGGATGTTATGAGAAATTATTTAAATGTTTTTCTTTTTAAAGTTTATTTTAAAGGCTTTTTCCTTTTTGACACTGTCACCCGTCTGAAGCTTGTCTCTGTCACAGACCCAGAGTGACGGTCTTTGAGTCACTTTGATGAGAGCAGTGTTGCACTTTCAGTCTGACACATTAAATCCTGCGTTGAATTTATGTTTTGACACAAAAAAGCCAAACACGACGCAGGACCAGCTCCCACTCACCAGCAAAAACCCACATATGTATTGTCACTGCTCATTCTTGGTGGATTGAAACGACCATCATGGAACACACACTGTCTGAATATCCTCTTCATGGTCGCTGTGGTGCCACTCACTGCTTGTATGATGCGTCTGTAATTAGACATGCAGAGCCCTTAGGAGCTCCGTGTGACACCTGGTGGGTCCGTGTTGGACTAAATGTGTCTGTAAACATCAGTGATCGTAAAACAACTGAACCAAATTAACGTAAATCATATCACAGTGACGCTTTTTCAGAACTAGTTCAGGTGAAAACATGTGTCTGTCTCCATATAAAGCTGCCAAGTAAAAAAAAAACCTTGAAATGTTGCAGTAGGTCAATGATGATGTTTTTGTTGAAATTCAGTTGATTGTGTGTTGATCAATTATTCAATTATTGTTCCCCGTCTTTAAAATGTCTGCGTTATTATCCCAGTTAATGATAAGTACGTTGAAAATGTTCAATGGAAATTTATGTTGGTCAGGTGTATAGTACTTATTTATGATGGACCAGATTTCAACTGTTCTAAACATCACCTTGATTATATGATACAAGATAATTCTATATTTAAACAAGTAAAATATAACTGTACATGTTACTATAAGTCATTTAGAATTTTACGACTGTGTTTATAGCGGTTTCACATAACATTTCTCTAATGTGCAGTTCTGCGAAATTGTAGCTGCCATTACATTAGTGCCTGCTGGAGCACAGTGTAGTGTGAGCTCTTTTCACATTGTTAACTACATTTTGACAGCACCGTATGAAAATATAGTGTCAGCCTGTAAGAAAATCACAGGCTCAGGAAGTGGAATTCACTCATCAGCAGTCCTTCCATGACAGTATCACACTGTCGAGGCTGAACACTGCATTTGAACATTAATATTTTTAAACTGGTGAAACAAAATACTATTTAAAATGGTTCATCAGAGGAGACCATCAAGAAAGCTCATGCTCTTAACTGAAGATATTGAAGGTGACGCATTGGGGGAAAAAGACTTGTAACAATATAACATACACCTCCGGCACCTCGAGGTGTTATACCACCCGTAGCACCCCTACTGTGCTCCCCCCGCTGTGGTTGCAATGAAATTAATCTACTTTTTAACCTGCTGAGATCCGCTTGCTAGCTAACATCAAGCTGGATCATTATAGACTCCGACTGACACTGAGCATGGAAGTGTTTTTAATTGTCAATCCAACTGAAACCGAGTCTCGCAACAAATCAAGAGGATTTTTTTGATGGTGAAAGACATCGTTTGGTTGTTACTCCCAATAAACTCTGTAAAATGATTATGAATCCATAATAGGTAATAATTAACACCTCCATTCACAGTATTATGCATCATTAAAGGGATAGTTGGCCCAAAATTGAAAATTATATCTATCATTATCTACTCACCACTATGTCGATGGAGGGGTGGGTGAAGTGTTTGACTCCACAGAACACCTCAGGAGTCTCAGGAGTAAAGAGTGTTGCAGCCAAATCCAATACATTTCAAGTAAATGGTGACCACTTCGTCCCACCTAAAAAACAACAGGAAAAAAACATAACACTGCTCCTGTGGTTTCATCCGAGTGTTCGTAAGCCCCAACATTCAAGTCCGTCTTGAAACAGCGTCATTTACACCATGTTTTAGCCTGAATGGCCTCTGATATTCTCACCCCGGAGCCCTTTCGCTTGCCCACACAGCAAAATCTCTCACCTCTATGCTCTCATCCAAAACTCAGTTGAATTTTCATTTTTGGGTGAACTATCCCTTTATAACGACAATCCAAGACATATTTTGTCGTCCTCTTAAATATTTCAAGCCAATATAGCCTCCTGCAATCTAACTCAGATTTTTCCCCTCGTCTAAACCTACATAGGATTTTTTTTTTTTTAAATGTGAACATGTTCACTATTTGTAGAACTTCTGATGAAATTTGCTCTTAACTCTGAACAATACAATTAGTTGCACTCACATCTTTTATATGTCCACTAATGTCCTTTATATTCCAAATGCTTAAATATGGGATGAATATTATAGCAATGTAATAACTTTATCTCAATTCATGTGTTGATAGTCAGATTTATAAATGCGTAAAAGAAACTGAAAATGCATGCTGATATTTGTCCATGTGTACAGGAATCTACAAATGTGTTTTCAGAGCTGGGAATACAGAGAAGTCCTCAGTCACGACTCAGACAGGCCTTTTGTGTTTCGTGTGGCTGATTTTTCCTTTTAAGATATTTTTTTCTTAAACTTGAGAAGATAAAATATTCACTGAGAGTCTCAGGGAGGAAATGTTTTCATACATGGCCGCCTTTCATAAGCAGTTGTTTTATTCCGTTTGCCCTGTGATTAATATCAGTATGTATCTGTTTGTTTTCCACTTTTGCTTTTGCCTACCTGCTGAGTCTGTTTGTATGTTTTGTGTATTATCACACGCCAGCCCCAGTTAGGCATAGTGGGGGGGGGGGGCTTTGAGGGGCTTATAACATGTGCAGGTTAAGAATCTTACTCTTTTATTCCTATTTTTGTTCTTGTTGTTTGTTTTTATTAATTAGTTGTAGTCTTATTGCATATTTGAACTCAAAATTGTAACTATAGACGATTTTGGTTATTCATGTTACTTTCGTTGTCACATTTTTTGTCATGACTACACTTTTGAAATCTGCAAAGCCATTTTTAAAATATAATTGTTACAACATTAATAAATATGAAAAGCAAAATGCATTGAAACTCCAGGTCTAATCACAATCCTAATCCCACTCACAGTAGATTTTGAGACTGTCTTTCACGTCTGATCACCGACTGACTGTTTCATGCCTGCTCTCCTGGACGTGCACTATAAATTCTCTCTGGTCTCCATTGTTGGGCCGTGTGCCACTGAGCCTCCCAGCTTCTGCTCTGCCCTGCTTATCTGTGTGACGTCTGTGTCCATGTGGGTGTTTTGCAGCGTTTCCATTGACAGACAGTGTAATGATGCCCCGTGGATGAGCCCCTCCGGCTCTCTAAGCTGCCATACACCAGTCTCCTCACACCACTTCAGAATGTCAATCAGCCTCCCCTCTGCACGACCTCTCTCCTCACCTGTCTGCCTGTTCTCTGTGTCAGCGTGTCTGCCTCTACTCACGGCCGCGTACATCTGCGTGACTTTCTCTCTCTCTCTTGTGTTATTTTCTCTGCAGGTTTGGCAAAGCCCATGGGGCTGGTGGAGGGACCCGGGGGCCTTGGCCAGGGGGGAGCAGCCGCCACTCTGGGAGAAGAAAGCCATGATGCCGAGGGGAAGTATGAGGAGTACGGCTACAACGCTCAGCTCAGTGACCGCATCTCCCTGGACAGAAGCATCCCAGACTACAGGCCTAAAAAGTATGTCCACCTCCTGTTTCTCCTTCCATCTTCTCATGCACTTCTAGCTACAGCTCTGCACCTGTTTTTCCCTCTGGGAGAGTTGTATAATGTTAATAATAATAATGTTAGAGAGACTTGCTACTGCAAGGTTTAATCCCTGCAGCAGTTGATGCGCTTCATTTACATGATGGCACACATTGTGCGGGAGGACATTTTGCCAGGAAATTGGCATTTTCATCATTTTCTTTACCCTCATCATTGTCTTCCCTTGGTTTTTACTGGTGTTTTGGTGACTCTCCAGAACATTTTCTGTGCACAAACCAGAAGCATAGTTGTGGTGCAAGGTGTGTCACAAATGATAAGATGTGCTGTTGTTGTGCTGAGGATTAGTGGAATTCACTAAACCATTCTTCACACTCAATTCAGGTCAAAAATGCAGGCAGAGTTGTGCATTTAAATGTTTTTGACAAACTATGAAGTCACCAAGCTGTCTTAGGTTTAATGCTGTTTAACAACATAGATTTCGGTGTCTGAGCCCTGTTATGGAGGTTTTCTTGAAACTGGTAGAAACTCAAGCAGCAGCTGATGTCCTATGCAGAAGATTTCATTGTAGACTTGATGCATCAAGGACACCAGAAGGTGGAAGAATATACAAACGCTAATCGAGTAACATGAGCAATTGTCGCCCCCTAGTCTGTCGAAATCTCCCACAGCATTCCCATATATCTCACAATACTTGTGTCAACAGCACATCAGTGAAAGAATAGAATTGCTGTCACTCTTTATGTTACATGTAGTATTCGCATCCTTTCAGATCGTTAAGACTGAAGCATTCCTCAATCACATTGTGTCCTTACGTCTTGCCACTAATGTAATACGCATAAGAGTTTGTGTCTCATTGTCTAGGGCATCTGAATAAGATATGAAAGTCCCTGAGCGTATACACTACAATGTACTGCTAGTTGGCCCTTTATCTATAACCTGACCTTGGGTACTGCGAAGAGAGAGAAGGGAGTAAGTGGGAATAAGACAGGAACTATTCTCCTCATGGTGTACATACAGTATCTAATGTGTGTGAAATTCCTCAACAAGCCATGTACTGAAATATTTGCTCTGCTTAGAAGCAACTTTAACATCATCAGACGTAACTTTTTCACTGAACTCTGGTAGTAACACACTCTCTATACGGCTCTGGCAGTCACGTAAGGTTAGCCTACACTTAGCTACTGTGGCTGCATTTCATATAAAATTATTCCGACACCAAATATTTGAAACGAGTTGTAAAAGGAGAGGAACATGTCCAACTTAATGAAGAACCTGGTGACGCTCAGAAACATTTGAAAGCAGAGGGATGGTCTGTGTTTACTGGTTGAGTGTCCTCATGTCAACACATCAGCCGACAGTGTGGGCGTCTCTGGACCCAGAGGCGAGGAGACACGTAATGGTTTGTTTGGAGTGGAAGACGTTTGTTTTGTTAAGCACTGCTAATTTGAGTTAAATGATTGTAGGTTTAATTTATTATGTGAGTTTTCCACTTATAAATATTTATTTAAGTAAATATACTTTAAACTGTAAACCTGTTACATTTTAACTTCCAATTTGCCTTTGCAATAAAAAAGCTGCTCATATCGTCAACCGTTGCTCCTTTAAGGAAAAAGATTCTGCCACTGATATTGAAAACAATCCAAATGAAACCCAAACCTAGCAGCAGTGTTGTTAATGGTTGTGATATAAAGAGAGTTGGTCTGCTGAGACGTCTTCTACAGATCCTTAGGTCTAGTTTGTTGCTGGATCTTTTATGTACAATGCTTTCTTCATTCATTTTAATTGAAGGTGCTGCATATTTTATATATGGCTTCATTTTTATTCAAGACTTCTTACGCTAAACATTGAAGTCAGTACCCAGATGAGGGAACGCACAGTATAGACTGTCGCATGGATCAAACACTGCCTGACGCTGGATTCCATATGGAACACCAAAATGCAAATGTCACCCTTGTAAATTTAATGGCTGCACATTCCTGTATACCTGGAGCTTTATGACATTCATTTTGCAGCGGCCGCCCACAGTTTCCCAGTGGCACATTGCATGTAGTGAAGGCACTCAAACCCTGATTATATGAATGGCAGAGCAGTGCACGTTGAATACCTTTTGTGTTGTGCTAAATAACACATTTTAAATTAGTACATTTTGGCATTAATTTTGCAATGGTTGGCCTCATTATGTAAACATCAACATTTTCACTGCCTGTGGTGGAAACTGTTTATGACCCCACTTGTGTTCAGCGGAGCAGCTTTTGTAACCCAGCATCCCTGATGAAATGTGCATATGTGCATATTTCATCAGATATTGCTCCACCTCTGCGCCTCCTCATTAGGGAGACTCTCAGGGGGCCGCGAAGAGCTGCGGGTAGTGGATCACATGACCAATGAGGAACGTAATGCTGAATTAAATAAGAAATGTTATAAATATTACAATAGATATACTTTAGGAATTAATCCTTTGATTTGATGTTTGTTATCTTTTCACTACTATCACATTGAGCTGCCCTCTTTGTTATCTGATACTTATCCAGTCAATTCTGGAACTGTGGGCGTATCTAATGTTAAAGGCATCCTTACTGTGGATTTAGAAAATGATAAATAACGTGTTTCGGTGTGTAACCCTCATTTCTTGGTGGGTAGTTTTTTGTAGTTACTTTGGTTTGTGGCTACTAAGCAGTTTATAGTTGCTTTTCAAGGAATCAGGCATTGGTCATGGCAGATAATCAACGGTTGTATATGTTACTTTCGATAACATGGCAGGTTAAAGACAAAGAGTGAAAGAATACTTTTTTCAGGTATTTTTTTGGTGTAAGCATATAAAGGGGGGGAGAGAAGACCTCCAGCAAAGGGTCGGGTCACAACCCAACCAGCACCCGCTGCAGGATGACTCAAGCATCAATCATGCTGGCTCATTGTTGATGACACTGAGAATCATCCATCTTGTCCTTCTCTGTCTCCGAACGATAAAACACTATAAAAAAGGAAAGAAGTCTCCACCACATCATTTGTTGCAGCTCTACAACGCCCCCTCTGGTCAACTTTGAGGCTGTTAGTGGGGATGCTGGAGTTAAGATCTTGGGAGGAAGAGGATGAAACCAGGATCCTATTGACCCAGAGCAGTATCTGGTTGAAAAAGAAAAAGCACACTGCCTAACTCTTCTTTATTGTCCAAATCGACCATATCACTCTTTTTGTGTGTAAAATTTGCCCTCTGTGTAAAAGTATTGTTATGATTGTTCCCTCAAGTCTCATCCTCACAAATCTGCCCTTGTACTTCCTGCTTGATACTTTTCATCTCCTTCGTCAGTCTTACAGCCTAACTCCACTTAATCCTTTCTCCTCCCCTCTGTCAACGACCAAGAGAGGTTTCTGAAGGCTTTAGCAGGGATAACAATTCATTTCATGCAATCTGCTTTGTTCCGATGCTCTTTTTCACGCCCCAAAAAATTAGACAAGAGATGGAAGGAGGAGGGCATCTTGAAAGGAGCTTGGTAATTGATAAAGTCAGTGGAGAGAGCGCCTCTGGAATGGAAGGGTTTCAGGAAATTCATTTTTTTAATCGAAAAAGTGGAACGGCAGACAAGGGAAGTGCGATTGTTTCTGGTTCTTAATCGTGGTGACAATATGTTATGTTTCTTAAAGTGACGCAGGTTGTGACTAGATTCTACATGTGCCAAACAGAGGGGTCCCTCTTCCTCCCTGTTGATCTGTATCTGTGTGTAGGCATTAATCTATTCTGGGTCAATTCCTGAAAAACAGAATGTTTTTTCTGTGGCCATGTAAACAAGCCCAAACATCAAGAACAAACATTACATGTTGTGTCAAACAAGGTAAAGCTTGAATCCATGACAGATATCCAATAGGTACACAGTGTGATAAAGACTTGATGCATTTGTTGTGTTGCTCAATGGAAATCAATACAATGCAAGGTGCAAACAAGTTTTTTTTGCTTTCTTTCTGTTTACAGCAGAGACGCAGCATTTTTAAGAACAGGAGTCAAAACGCTGCTTTTAGCAAAGAGAATTGTCCACAGATAGAAAATGAATGTTTTTACAACCAGCACAACAGAAAGTCGTTTTGTGGCACTGGTGGGGGCTTACAGGTGCTTTCAAAACGCCTTTCCACTTGTAGGAACTCTGCTGCATTTGCCCAGTGTGCTTGTGTGAAAGCTGTTAGTAAGACTCTAGCACTGGACCAAGTATATCCCATTTTAAAGTATGTTTCCCAATAGACAATTTATGTGGATTTAGCCTGAATTTAAAAATAAAATATATTTATATATACTAAATCTGATCATCAACTGTCAAAGAAGGAATCACAGAAGCAGTCTAAATAAGCAACGTACATATGTATCATAACAACGTATCTATGAAAGAAAATTCAATGCCTGAGGCAACATATACTGTAGGTGTCAGCGTGTGAGTGCAGGGATATAACCTGATCAATAACAAAATGAAAAGGTGTTAAAACAAAGGAGAGTTTCAATACTTTGTGTTAGTTCCTCATTAAAGTCAACCAAAGAATATTGACAACAAATGCATCATAATAAGCCTCAGTAATGAGTAAGTTTAAGCTTCCTTGTTTATCCTGTTTCTTCATTGTTATTCATAAACAGAGGTTTGAGATACACTCTCTCACAGTGAGTAAGTAAACATAAATCTACACATACTGAATGTAGCAGTGAAGTCAGGCATCAGTTACCAGCTCATCCACATGACTACACGATAACAGCTGTTGGATAGTTTGTAAAACTCCAGTGTGAACACAAAGCAGATCAGAATGTTTCCAAACTTTCTACACAGGATCTCAGTGGATTAGTTTAAATATGAAACCAAAATTAACTCTAATAATATTAGATTTGATCCCTTCATAGTTTAATAATGACCAAATGACCAAAAATATTTTCTTCATATTAACTTGTTTTGCTCTGCTGCAGCATTACGTAGCTGTGTGCAGCTCTGTTTGCAGGAAAC